GAAAATATTTGTCTCACTGCCCACAAAACACATGCCGCTGGTCCTCAGTCTCAAATCTCTCCAACAAACTTGATGTGTGGTTTGAGCTACAACATTTCTTTTAGGGATCTCGCTGGGCTTGATCTGAAAACGTCAAAATCCCCTGCTTTCTGTGGAAAATTGTCCTAGTGGATAAGCATCAGCCTGTTAAAATCCTGTGCTTTAACTCTGATTTGAATTTCTCTGGCCTCAGTTTGCAGCCAGTCATCATTATGCCTTTCTTTGATAGATTTAAGAGCTTTGAGTACCCAGCATTTCCTCCCTGGGGCAGCCTTCATCCAGTGTAAAGTCATGCCACAGACTTCTTTTTTGATAAGCTAAACAAACGGATTTTTTCGATCCCTGATTCTAGCAGATAGGTTGTGACACCCTAATGGTGACAGTGCTCTGTACCTCTGGCACAGGCTTGTGGCTAGAGTTAAGCTCTAAAGAACAGTATGAGGTTTAATTCTGCTGCTTGCAAGTATTTGGGGCTACAGACACCTTAGGATTAGCTAGTGGATTCAGACAGCTTTTAGCCAATATATGCTAAGAATAAGCATCCTTTCTGAGGCTAGACAAGGCTGAAACACTTGGAGCAAGTCGAAGGTTGTCTTGTGCCCTGGGGTTGGGTAGAGCAGTTCCACCAAAAAGGCAGATGGTGCTCGATGGATGCATCCAATTTTAAAAGTATGACTGAATAAAGTCTATTGCAGCTTACCCAACTGATTGGCCACAAGGTGTGTTAGCGCTGTTAAAGATAGACAGTATCTTCACGCACGAGCCCTTCCTGCCCTGGGCTCTGCAGAGCTAAGTGGCAGAAGCTCAGTCGCTAGGTCAAAGCCAGCCGCACTATAACCCGCTCAAATCTATAGACATAGATCGGTTTTGCAGGTGGCTTGTGGCCTCCCCATGCATTAAATCCTCAGCGACTTCTGATTTTTGGGACACTAGAGGAGGCACTAGAGGAGGCAGTCGTCCGGTGGCGCAAATTCCACCCTAAGGCTGTCGTCACCTTGCTCCTTAGGAGCTTGGGAGCAAGTCTGCTCCTTAGGTCTCAACTAAAGCAGGGTGGAGGGGTGAGGAGACAATTTCAGGCATTGAAAGAGAAGATTTACCCAAGCAAGTTCTTCCTGTGGGGAAATCAGAGAGAAAGCCCATTGGAAATGGGTGCTGTGGGGATGGTAGATGGAAAACTGCTTTGACAAACCCTCCAGCAGCTTCAGCCGACAGCTGCTACTGCCCTGCAAGCAGCAGGGCCGTCGCCCGGGACATGACAAAAGGAACGAAGTTAGGCTTTAAATGGAAAAACACTGTAGCAGAGCCACTGTGCTCTAAATTAAGCTACAACCAAGCCAACAGGAGTATTGGGTTTCTCCCCTCATCCTTTCCCCTCCAAGACCAGCTCGCAAGCCTGCTGCTCCCGCAGGACAGGACAGCCTCACTCAACAAATACCAGATAAAGCCCCACGCTTCTCTGGTTACAGACCAAGGGCTCCAAAACTGATCTGCAGGCGGAGGGTTAAGTCCTGGATTTTAAAGCAGCTCATTTGTCAACGAGACCAGTTATCTCCATTACTAAAAATCAGAGGAACATTGACCACAGGGTGCAGCATGCTGGCAAAAAACAGATATAATCCTCCCCTTGTTTGTCTAACCAGGGCACTTTCCTAGCAATGAGAGGGGATTGTTACCTCCCTGCATACTCGAGAGCATTACAGAGGAAGAATATGAGGAAGCTAGAGTGTGCTGCACATGGAGACACGTAATGCTGCAAAGAGCTGAGCTTCCTCCACCCTGAGCCTCTCATCATTCTCTGGAAATCAAAATCCAGCTCCAAGCACGGCACGAAGGAAGGAACAGGATTTCTCCAAACAGGGCTTGGCACGTATCACCGGGGCACCTGGGTGGCTATTGTGTACTTGCTGCGTGGCTTCCTGGGATGGGCTTGCGGGAGCCACGACGAGGTGGGCAGGAAGGTGGTGGGCTGAAGCCAGAGGCAGCAGGCTTTGACCTGATGCTAGGTTGTCCCTGTCGGGTTAAGGGAACCACAGCAGCCTCCTGCTGTCCCCAGTACAGTCTGGAGGGGAGCTGGACACCTCAGGAACTGCCCAGAGGTTAATTATTAGGTATTTAAATGGGTCGTTACTGGCCAGGCCCCATTTCCAGAGTCGTTCCCCAAGGCAGTAGGAGGCCCTGGGAGGAGAGCTGGGCTTTGATAGGTCTACGTGGGCTCCTGGGACAGGCAGCCCCAGCCAGAGCTGCTCTGAGGGAGATGGTATACGCATGGGTGTGCGGAGGTATCCCCCCTCATAACCGCTCTCCGGAGCCACCCTGCCAACAAGGAAGGTGCCATGGTGCAGTTGGCATGTCTCTGGCAGGGCATTTACACTCCCACACAGCTTCCCGAGAGCGAATCTCCCTGCTATGGGAGGCTGGGATTCATCCTGGAGCCTGGACACCTCCTTCGCTGCCAACATCTGATGTTTAACGCTGCCTAGTCTCTGAAAGGCCAGAGATAATGCTTTCTTAGGCATGTATATGGGGATTGGCAGCATTTTGGAGGCATCTGTCTCTCCGATGACTACATAAGATATCCAAGCTGCAGATGCCTAAATGAGACCCATGAATCCTGGTTTTTATTCCTGCCTGGACACATAATCCAAATTTCACCGACGAGCAGCGCGAACACGGTGTTCCCACCAAACGTCTCCAGTTGCCAAGGTGCCTCACTGAGACGAGTCTTTCCGTTAGACCCCATTGCTCTTCCCACCCACTTTATCTGCCACGAGAGAGAAGTCTGGCCTCAGCTAGTATGCTGCAACTTTCAGGAACCTGCCAGATGTTTGATAAAAATATCATTAAAACCAGCACAAAGCTGTAAAAAGCAGCCCTGAATCATAAAGCAACAGCTCTGGGGCAATAAAGAACAGAGGCGTCCCCTGTGCCAAGGAAGGCACACTGGTCACGTTTAAAATAAATCTTATTATATTAGAAATCAAGAGTGTTTTTTTCTAACTTTTTTTTATAATATCTATAAATTAAAGCTAAATAATTTTTATCACCATGATTCCTCGAGCCTCATGAAAAACTACCCCAGAGCTTTCCATCTATATCAGACTTCTCATCCGCAAAGCTCACAAATTCCTCAGTGCAAAATAGCAGTAAGATGATAAAACAATAATAAACAATCTATTCCAGGCCCCGATGGCGAGATCCGTATCGTCTCCAGCTCCGGTGGCGCCGCGGCCGCACAATGGAACCCATTGTGCCTCCGAGCCCCAGCACCACAAGCAGAGCTGCCGTCTTGGCTGGAGGAGAAGCTGAGGATCCTCGCCACGGATGGTGCTCAGAGAGAAGGTTTTTTGGGGACGCGGCGGGTGGAAAAGGGGCTGGTTTCTCACACTGGGGAGTGAAGGGGTGCGCTGTGGGAGAGCGTCTGCTCTGAGCCAGGCAGACCACGGAGAGGGACGGTGACAAGCACCAGCATTTCAAGCTCTTGATCCCTTCTCGATGCTGGTGGCATTGCTCCACCATGAGGTCCCCATGCTGGATGGGCAGGAAGGCTTGGAAACGGGTA